GAAGGTGTTTCTTAAGACAAGTTTTTCTCTATTTTAGGCTTGCCCTAGGTTTTGCCTAGAAGGTGTATTTATTTACCTCCACATTCTATCAGCACATTAAATAAACTAACTTTCAATATTCAGGGTATTTAATGTAGTAAGTGTAGGAAATCAAAATGGGATAGAGGAAATAATGAGAGAAACCTGTATTCCTTAAATAAGGAATAGCTTTGTATATGACTATTATGACATACAGAGCTCACAGGTTCTGATCTAAATTCTCTTACATCCATTTGGAGTTCAGCCAAATCCAAAAGGCCTTTAAATTGAGAAACATGAAAAAAACTCATCAGAGCTATAAATGTATAGGCAATTTGGTGCTTCCTTTTCCCCTCTCCTCTCCTCTCTCAGCGTGCGTGCACGCGCGCGCGCACACACACACACACACACACACTTTTCAGGTTTTAATAGAAACCTCACATCATAATTAGAAAAATGAAATTCCTGCCATTCACAATATATAGTTTGGACAGATTAAAGAGAAGAGGTGTGAGAGATGATAATTGCTTTGTGCTCATCAGGCCTCTATTGAAAACCTGACAGGATAATTACAAAATATCTGCCTTACTGAAAGTCTAGGCAAATTTTTGAAGAGCCATTTAAAGGTGTTCATTTACTCTCTGGTTGAAAAGAAAAAAGTTTTTTGTTTCCTTTTAAAATGGTTCATTATCATTTAAATGTATTGTATATGTTCAGGTACAGTGTTCAGTCTCATAAACATGCATGGTTGCATTCCTCTTCCCACCCTCAAAGAAAATTGTCCATCATTTTTTGAGTTAACCCCCCACATACATTTAACTCTCTTCTCTGTCAGCATAACATTACTTTGACAACCAGAAGCTATAACCTTGATAGTTTCAGCAATTTGAATCGTATTCCTAGGCAATTTAATTGAGGAATGAAGTCTTGGCGGACTACAAAATGTAGTCTCACAAAATGCATTTTAATTGGCAGAACAAAGTGGAGCCCTAGCTGTAGCTTGATGGCATTTTTCTGCCTATTTGCATGTGTGATAACTTTTGAAAACCACATCCAATGGAATCTAAAGCTTCAGAGAGTATTCTAGGTGGTAATGGTATAGACTGTAGTAGGCCTTCAACTGCTTAATGGCAATGTGGTGTAGCATTTTCTTGCATTCTGTTGACCAAAGTTTGGGTAAGAGAATAAGAGGCTAAGAAAATGATCAGGCTGAGGACACTGCAAGGTGTGAACCATTTTAGAAATTTCAGGAAAGATGGAATGGAAAAAAGCTAACCTATGTATCTTGATAAAAGTCACTTAAAGTATATTTAGTGATTAGACAAGGCTAATTTTAGACAAGATAAGTGCATCTACACGAGATGCTTACTGCATGTAGCCTAATAATGCTGTGCAGTAGCATACTGGTCAAAAACCATATAAAACTGCACCATAATAAAACTGCACAGTGTTATTAGGCTACTGCACAGTAAGCATCATAAAAAACATGTGTCGGTGCTACTGTACAGTAGCACAAGTTACTGTGCATTGAATTAGTACTTGGTTAACCAAGTACTAATTCAATGCACAGTAACTTGTGCTACTGTACAGTAGCACAAGTTACTGTGCATTGAATTAGTACTTGGTTAACCAAGTACTAAACTTAGTGTGCAGTAACTAGAGTGCATTAATGAGCCTGTAGACATGCCTGATATAGCTTAGATAGGAAATAAAAATAAGCATATGAGTATTAATCAGAGTAGCACCTATAAGCGCGCGCGTGCGCACACACACACACATGCCTTACTTAGTAAGTGTGTGTGTGTATGTGTATATCATATTTACCTTATTTAGTAAGTTTTGGTATATTAGTAAAGCTTTTTGATATATTAGATACAAATCTGTGTTCATCTTGGAATCTATGCTCTTCAGTCTTGAACTACACAGATCTTGCTGAATAGCCCATCTGTGAATGAACTAAGAAAAGTGCTCTTTTAAAACTTAATATGAAACCCAGGTGAGAAGTCATTTTCCATAACAGGCTGGCCATTTGTTAAAGGCTTTCTGAGGCTAAATACAGACAGTCAAAAAGCCTGAAGCTGAATCGATTTAATCTTCAGTCTAAACTGTGTAGATTGAACCAATAAGCAAGTGAACAGACAGTCACTTTTGATTCTGGAAGTGCACCCACATGCCTACAGTGGCCCAGACCAGAAGCTGGAGTGGAGGGGGGGGGGGGGCGGGGACTAGAGCATGCTTCCTTGCTCGGCTGGAGCAGACAACTTGGGTCAAAGCTAGCCCACCAACCCTGCAAGGGGGTGTGTGCGTGGGAAGTGCAAAGCATCCTGGGATGCTGGGGGACTGTGAGTTAACTTGAATCTGGAATGGAACTGGAACAGAAGTTTAATCAACTGATTTAACCTAAATCAGTTAAGTCTGATACTACAGCCATCTAAGTTTGTCTTAAACCAGTTTTGGCCATTCTGAAAGCAGTTTATGTGCACTAAGCTTCTGTTGTGTTACAGATTTGAACCAGATTCCGGTCACTTATACTAGTTATACTAGCCTGAGACTTTAGGACTTAGAGAAATTAATTATAGAGTGTCTCAAGTGTTAAAAATATTATTTCTTCAGATAAACGCACATTTTATAAATTTTAATAATTTGCTTGATATTCCTTATCTGTACTGTTTAGCAATTTAGATGTTATGTATTTTATTATTGAATTTACTCTTAAAAATTTGCTCATGTTTGCATCAGGAGAACAGAGTCATTCTGGATACAGAGGTCTGGCAGTAATCACAAGGTTAAGATGAGGGTTAGGGGTAGTTGAATCACTTGCCATGTTCTCACCAGGCTCTCCAACTTTGGACAGCCATCTAGTTAGTTGTGGCCAGAACTGGAGTGAGGACAAGGCTGGGAGACTGTCCAGAAGCAAGGGTAAGTGGGGGCCTGTCTGAATAAACAGCTGTGCCTACATAAACAAATCACAGCCCTCTGGCAATAGTTCTTTTTAAGCTTATGTTGAACTCCTCAGATTAAACATATAAGTGCTAGGGGTGCACTGATAAACATTTTTTGGGCCAATAGCAATGGCCAATTATTGACCAGTCATATTGGCCACTACCAATCTGATCAATGATGTGCAGCCCGGCAGCTTGGAGAGCAGCATTCAGCTGGTAATTCTATTGTGGGGAAAGGGCAGGGGGGAGGAAAAAGGTATTAGGGGGCAGATCAAGGCTCCTGTGGTAAGGGAAGGAGTGAGGCTGAGCCTGGGGCAAGGGCAGGGACAGGCACTGCACAGCCAGAGCAGAGCACGGAACACAGCTTCAGCTCATCCAGGGGCTGCAGGGGGGCGGGAAGGAGGAAGGTGGCTTCTGCTGCTGCATACACCACGGTGGGGAGGGCATGTGCCCCTGAATCTGTGTGCGAGGTGAGGGCAGGCTACCACTGCACGCTAGGGGCTGGGAGCTGTGCTGGCCTCTTCCCAGCAGGTGGGGCTGGGCCTGGGCTACGCTTGTGGTGGGTGGGGGTGGCACTGAGGGGGGGGCTACAGCTACCCCAAAATTCACTGTAGCCCTCCTCCTAGCACTGCTGCCACCTGCCCCACCGCACCCTGCCCAAATACAGTCCAGACCCAGCACACACACTGAGAAAAGCCCAGTACAGCCCCATAGCCCCAAGTGCACAGTGACAGCCTGCCATTGCCCTGTGCACAGATCTGGGGGGCATGTGCCCCCCATGCTTCCCCCAGGGCTGCACACAGCAGGGGGACCACCCTCCACCTCCCAACCCCCTGCACCACCAGACGAGCCGTAACTCCATCTTGCTCCCTACCCCAGCTGTCCAGCACCTGCTGCAGCCCCAGCTCCACTCCCTTCCTTGCATGGGGGCCTCAACCTACCCCCCAATGCCCCTCCCTCCCTACAGACTTACCAGCTGGATGGTGACCTCCATGCTGCTGAAATGTGTTCTTGGCTGCGCTCATGCATGCGACATTTATCAGTGACATTATTGGCCACATCAGCCACAAAAAGCTGATTGCCCATAATGTCAATTTTCCTTTTCTCAGTGCCGTTACAATATGGACCAATGTATTGGTACACCTCTAATAAATGCATAACATTAGTGTTCTGCACAGCATAGTACATTATCATTTTAGAAAGGGATTTTTTAACGATAGTTAACTCCCTTGCGTTTCTTTGAATATGTCAGCCATAAAAGTGCTAGGCACTGTACAACAGAAACCACATCTCCAGGAGGCCTGAAATGCCTCTACACTAAT